ACCACCACTCACCACTAACAACCATCACCACCCACCACTAACAACCACCACCACTCACCACTAACAATCATCACCACTCACCACTAACAACCACCACCATCACCACTAACAACCACCACCACTCACCTCTAACAACCATAACCACTCACCACTAACAACCACCTCCATCACCATCACCACTAACAACCACCACCACTCACCACTAACAACCACCACCACCATCACCACTAACAACCACCACCATCACCATCACCACTAACAACCACCACCACTCACCTCTAACAACCATCACCACTCACCACTAACAACCACCACCATCACCACTAACAACCACCATCACCATCACCACTAACAACCACCACCACTCACCACTAACAACCACCACCATCACCACTAACAACCACCATCACCATCACCTCTAACAACCACCACCATCACCTCTAACAACCACCACCATCACCACTAACAACCACCATCACCATCACCTCTAACAACCACCACCACTCACCACTAACAACCACCACCATCACCACTAACAACCACCATCACCATCACCTCTAACAACCACCACCATCACCTCTAACAACCACCACCATCACCACTAACAACCACCATCACCATCACCTCTAACAACCACCACCACTCACCACTAACAACCACCACCATCACCACTAACAACCACTATCACCATCACCACTAACAACCACCACCACCATCACCACTCACCTCTAACAACCATCACCACTCACCACTAACAACCACCACCACTCACCACTAACAACCAACACCACTCACCACTAACAACCACCACCATCACCACTAACAACAACCACCACCATCACCGTCTGACGTCTGTGTGAGCAACACCCATGGGGGGTCAGCAGCCACTGCAGCTGAGTTCACGTGACATTTACATCACACGAGACCATTTGTCGCGTGCAATGCATGAAACATGTCGCGGTCAAATGTTGGTCACTGGACACGTGACAGCATGCAGCTGTCGAACAGGAGGCTCCGACACGTAATTTATTCATCTTTATTTTAACATTGCAATGCAATAATAATGTAGTTACAAGGAAAGCCTTTTTTGCCGACTACATTTTTAATTGTGTCACCGTGCCACCCGCTGCGGTGGCCTGCCGAGTGATCGGTGTTCGCTAACAGCACTTGCCCCTACAGTCTGTTAAGGCTACTCGGGGATCTTTGTGTGCAGGGCAGAGTGTGATGACGTCCGCCCTTGGGAGAAGCTCAACAACGCGTCCCGTCAGCCGAATGGAGGTGGTCGCACCAAAACACGGCACGCGTTTGGGTAACGATCTCCGGGTTGCACGTACACTGTGCAGTGCACGATCTCAAGTGTTACTCGACTCGCTCGTGATGTCACAGTCACTGCGATACAAAGTCACTTCTCGCCGGAACTCCTGAGAACGACACAGCCTCGTGTCGTCACGTGACGGAACGGCCGTGGAAGTGGACACCCCAGATCTACCTCCTGGCATCATCTCAACGGCCATCTCGTGGAGAGTGATAAAGCGGAACGTTCACGTGAAGGGTTTAAAAAAAAATTGTATTTGTGCAGTCCTTGCTTGAGATCAGCTGGTCTGTGTGGCTGCTTTTTCACGAGTGGCGGTCCGGGTACTAATCCAGGATCTCAGTGCTGCTGCTGCTGCTGCTGCTGGATCGGTGCTCACGGACACAGCAGCCTCTGGAGTTTCATTTATTTTAAGAGCCGCGTTTTTTTTTAGACTGCAATATATTTGTTGAAAATGCCAAAAAATGTCAAATGTCAGATTGAGACTCTATAAACAAATTACGTGGCAATCTATCCAAAATGTGACACACATCGGCTGAAATTTAATTTACAGATATTTTTCTATGGAGAAAATCATTTGAAATAATACAATAATACATTTTATACCTCATTTATCCATACGCAGGTGTTTTCCAAGCGGATTGAAGGAGCACGGTATATAAATATGGTGTGAATTTTTATAAAAAAAAGTGTTTGTGCAAAAAATAAATTATGTAACGTTATAGTGGTGTCGAATAAGGGCACAAAGTAAGATGGTGAAATAAGTTGACTTTCCGCAATAAACGGGGAGTTCTGTAATTCACTGACGGTTATGAAAAATATTTTTTTTATGATGGAGACCTTTAAAAAAAGATCAGGGCTGATTTCGTTCAAACCTACGTATAAACCAAGAATGACAAAGCAAATCTCAAAGACAAAACAATTGAAGGAGTCACCCGAATTGACGTGGAAATACGCCCCGTGCCGATGCGGCAAGTACACGTGTAGACACACACAGGGTGGTGACGATGATGATGTTGAGCGTCAACATTCCTGTCATTGTTACTGGATGTCAGAGAAATGAGGGTCACGAATTTAGTGAGGGAGTTTTGCTAACATAGTAAAAATAAGTGATATTTAAAAAACTTTTTTTAAAACACGCTTTAATGAGATCTACCATAATAGTAATGGAAGAACTCCACGACTCCAGGAAGTGGCCCCGAAGCTTGCCACAACGTAAGGGACCGTGGTGATTTACAGCCAACGTCAGTTGAGCGTGGACAATTAGACGCAAGCCGAAACATAACATATAAAAAAGATTGATAAAAAATACACATTTTTATTTTATTATGATAGAATATAGTATTGTCATCAGTATGGCATAAGTATACAAAGTTTGCAGTCGATACCACATTGGGAAGTTGGTTAAAATTTACTTACAAGATTTGAGGATACAACAACAACGACGACAACAACAACAGCCAGAGTGAGTTAATAGAAAGCGTGTAATAAACCTCTCTCGAGAAACGGTGCCTTAACGCGGCGAGAGAGTTTGTGTACGTCTGAGAAGCTGATCGCTATACCGTCGAGAGCCTAGTGCTCTCAGAAGGGTCACCCAAGGTGGGAAGACTTCAGTGGAGACGTCAGACAAAACCCGTTTCGAAAGGTCCCCACATGACCTTTTCAAATAAATTGTGATCCAAGAAAGCAACGGGAAACTACTTGGATTATTTCTCCCTTGAAAACTTCAATGATGACAAGCAACATCAGCACAGGCCCTGAGTATGGGCGTCCTTTGAATAGGACAGGGGTGCTAAGAATCTCCGAGCTTGTGTCAAAGAACCCTTTCAAAGTAGCAACTTGGAACGTTAGAAGTTTACTTCAAGCAGGAAAACTAGCCAATGTCATACAAGAAATAGATCGACTTAAAATGAACATAATCGGTCTAAGCGAAACTAAATGGCCTAGAACAAAAAAGATTATATCGAGCGAACACCACATCTTCTGCTCCGGAGGAGAAGAAACACCAAACAAACATACGGTGTCGCCTTTATAGTACACAAGAAATTAGCGAATAAAGTCAACAACTTTACCCCAGTATCAGAACGAATAGCACTACTACAATTAGCAGGCAACAAAGTCAACGTGAACATTCTACAGGTTTATGCTCCAACAGCAGACAAACAAGATCACGAAATCGAATCGTTCTATGAGCAACTAACCAACACGCTGAAGCCGCTGAAGAAGCAAGACATCACTATAATCCTCGGCGACTTCAACGCCAAGGTTGGCCACGGTCGAATGCAGAACATTGTCGGAGAACACGGACTAGGAACAAGGAATGGACGAGGCGACAGACTGGTTCAATTCTGCCAAGAAGAACGTTTCAGTATTGCTAACACGTGGTTCCAATTACCACCTCGACGACTGTACACGTGGACCTCGCCGCAAGACTCCGACAACAGCATCGTCAGGAACCAAATCGATTATATCCTAATTAACATCAGGTTTAAGTCCAGTGTGATTACAGCAAAAACCTACCCTGGAGCCGATATATTGTCAGATCATAACCCAGTAACAGCTACAATAAGACTCAAATTGCGATCAATACAATGTACAAAGACGAGACGAGCAGACCTGGAGAAACTGAAGAACAGCGCCAATAAAAGACAAGTACAGCAACATCTCAACGATAGCATCCGCTCAATAACAACAGAAACAGCAGATGTTCGGGAGTACTGGCGCTCGTTCAAACAATGCATCACAGAAACAACAGAAGTCATGCTGGGACACCAGTCACTGAAAAAGAAACAACGATGGATGACAATATATTCTCGATCTAATGAGCAAACGAAGAATGTACAAAAATAACAACTTGGAGAAGTACAAACAAATGCAACAGGAAATCAGAGAAGCAATCCTACAGGCAAAAGAAAAGTGGATGGAAGAGCAATGCGCCGACATTGAAGAACTAATAAAAAACATGACAATTTTACTCTGCACAAGAAGCTCAAAGAAGCTGGTAACATCTACAGACCAGCCCCAACAGCTACCTTGTATGTGGACAACAACCAACCAATCCTAAATAAACAAGAAAAAATGGACACCTGGACAAACTATATACACAAGCTCTATGGCGCCGCGAGAACACCTGCAGAAAAAGACCAACAGATGTCGAAAGACGCTCTACACATTTTAACATCAGAAGTAGAACATGCAATCAAAACAGCTAAGCCAGGCAAAGCGTGCGGGCCCGACACAATCCATGTAGAATTGCTCAAACTATTAGACAGCAACAACACACGACAACTGACTAATTTGTACAATCAAATATACAACGGCAATAAAATTCCATCCAACTGGCTACAATCCATCTTTGTGGCCATACCAAAGAAAGCAACAAGCCGGGAATGTGAAAACTACAGACTGATAAGCTTGATGAGCCATGTGCTGAAAGTCTTCCTGAAGGTGATCCAACAGCGCATACGCTCCACATGCGAAAATGCATTGAAGAACACACAGTTTGGCTTCTGCAAAGGACTAGGCACAAGAGAAGCAATCTTCTGTCTACAGATACTACTACAGCGATGCTACGAACATCAGAAAGAAGTGTACATCTGCTTCATAGATTACGAGAAAGCCTTTGACTCAGTCGACCACGACCGACTAGCAGCTCTATTAAAACAACTGGGACTAGATAAAAACGACATTGACTTCATCATTGCTCTTTATTGGAAGCAAACAGCCCAACTCCGATATGACAACGAATTGACAGACCTAACACCAATACAAAAAGGTGTACGACAAGGCTGCCCACTGTCACCGATTCTTTTCAACATCTACACGGAGGAGATTTTTGATCGAACACGAGCAGACAAAAACATTGGTATTAAAGTCAATGGACAATACATCAACAACATCAGGTATGCCGACGACACTGCACTGCTGGTCGATTCGGAACAAGACCTGCAACAAATCTTGGACGCGGTTGCCGCAGAGAGTCAAATATGGGGTTTACGAATTAACAAAAAGAAAACAAAGGTTATGAAGGTCAGCAGAACTACAAGCGAAACAACAATCAAGCTGGGCAGCGAAAAATTGGAACAAGTACACCGATTTAAATACCTTGGTGTAATCATTGACGATCAGTTGAACCATGAAGTCGAAATCAAGAGCAGAATTGAACAAGCAAGGCAAGCATTTATTAAATGGAAAACACTCCTTGCAGACCGCAACTTGAGTACATCACTGAAACTGCGCACACTGAAATGCTACATCTGGTCAATTTTGCTGTACGGAGTAGAGACGTGGACACTGACAACAACAGCAACAAAAAGGCTCGAAGCTTTCGAGATGTGGCTGTATCGAAGAATGCTGAAAATCCCATGGACAGCCAAAACCACCAACACACAAGTTCTGCAAGATATGGGCACTGACAGGCAACTGCTGAAGACCATCATTAGCAGGAAGTGTTACTACCTAGGCCACATTGCCCGAAACGACCACAAATACCAGCTATTAAAGCAAATCCTGGAAGGAAAAATCGAAGGTAAAAAACGACCAGGACGGCCAAAAACGACATGGCTCAGTAACATCAAAACATGGCTAATTAACAACAGCACAAACTCTACACGCCGTGCTAGACCGGGACCAATATCATCGTGAAGTCGCACACGCCGTTAGGCAGCACTAAAGAAGAATAAGTGTAATAAACAAAGCATCAGCTTCTTTACACCAAGTCCATCCAGCCGTCCTGTGATCTGGAAAGACACACGCAACAGGGTGGAATACAAATCAGCGGGACTGCATGGGTAACAAGAGTCACGATAAAAAAATTAACCCATAAAAACAAAGTTTTTCATTATAAATCCTTTATATGCGTGGCGGCTAGAGTCCTCTCGTCCTCTGGCTTGAGATGGCTGCCACCTATGGGTCAGATGATTGCCTGCCACCATTAAGCAATTGGTAATTAAATATCATTTTTTTCCCTAAAAAGTGTAAAATTTTGGAAAAAAAATTTCACGAAAATTAATTGTCACGCACAACGAGTCTGTGTGGAAAATGTCAGCTCGATTGGATCACGGGAAGTGGGTTAAAAAACGACCGAAAGATTTGCACGGTCGTAAGCGCGCAAGCAAGTGAACTTAATATAAAGGATTTAAAATAATAGCAACTGATCACAGCGAGTGCATATTTGGGTAAACATTGCAATAATATATAATTCCCAAAAATGTGCATCAATGGAAAATAGATAAATATGGACAATGTGGCGCTGCAATACATGCAAAGCACGTAACAAATGTACAATGCCTTTGACATGCAAAGCAAACCTAGGCTGATGACACGATGTAACACGATTTTTGTCCCTGGGTAGTCAGTGTTATTTTCTAATTGCTTATGCCTCAAAAGTTTAGAAAATGGATATTATTCCCAACAAACTTTGCTTTTGTGACCAGGACTTTATGTGAAGGAATGACACAAATGCACATTTAAAGTAGGTAAATTTCAAAATATCACTGTCCTGGTCACAAAAAAAAAGTTTGTGGGGAATAATAGCCATTGTATGTACTTTTGAGGCATACGCAATTAGGAAATAACACTTACTACCCAGGACCAAAATGTTTTTGTTACACAGTGTAATCATTGTTGCAGCATTTTCGCCACTTATGGCTCCAGGTTAGAGGCAACAGATAGTCCGTTTCGGGGTTTCCAGGGCATGAAAAACCCCTTGCAGCTTCCCTAGATAATTGCCTCTGGTCTGGCAAAGTCTCAAACCACTACATTAAACATGGCCCCTGCATTCAGATTGCAGATTAACCACCACCTACTACACGCCGTGTCACCAGCAGGCCAAGCCAGCTGGCCCTGACGGCTATCCACAGAAAGTAAGCCAGCTGTGCATTATTAATTTGCATTAGGCTGACACGGCCATATTTAAATTCCGCAGGGATATTGTTATTTCGTGAATTAGTCAGCGTGGATAATTCCCCCAAAGTGGCAAATCCGAGCAATGGCATTGGCATGCGATGGATTGCTCCGCAAGCGAAGCCTCGCGACCACTTCCAACAGACAGCCCCCGCATTGAGAGCTCCCTGCAGCGCCACCGATCAGCCTCAGGAGTCGAGCGGGCGACCAGGATGGCTTGTCCTCGGCAAAGGCACAAACCCAACAGACTATCTAACTACCCTGAATGGTCTTTACCCTGGGAACAAGAGACGTGCTGTCCTCACAGTGGACCTGCCGTTTGCTACACGTGTATGCCACGGTGGCAAGATGATAACTACCTCGCCTGGTATGCAGGAGGTCGTAGGTTCAATCCCGACCCTGACGCCTGCTGTATATTTGGAGTTTGCGTGACACTCCCCCCGTGGTCGCGTGGATTTGTCTCCAGGTCCCCCGGGTTTTCCTTCCAAATTTAGAAACACGCGTTTAGTGTATTTGGCCGCTGCTATAAATGTCCACGTGATAAGCCGCTTCGTTGAGCTATCTTTGTGCTCGCCAGGCCGCTTCTGAAAAAGAGCTCTACAGCTCGGTGGGTCTTACCTGGTGAAATAAAATAGTTTAAATAGTTTCGAGTGTACAGTGGTGGAATGTTGTCAGTGTTTACCGACAACCCTCACTGCCCCAGATTTCAGACTGAAAAAAAAAACACGCGTGCCTTTGGGGTTAAATGCCGCGTTTCCAATTGAAGAGAATTCAACCGGCATGTGCCCTTAATTACTTCTGAATGTGCCACTGCCTGTTAACTTAATTATCAGCCACGCCGTTGGGATTCCTTCGCCGCCGGTGTTGTGGTTACTCTGCGGCGTTGTGTGCATTGACAGTGAAATACATTGACAGTGAAATACATTGACAGTGAAATATATGGACGCGCTAACAAGAGGCCGGTTCCAGTACACGAGCGATCAAGAGGATGGAAAAGACGACTCGCCGCTCGCTCCGTGGTGGCATCGACGCAGCAGCACAGGCGCAAGACGTCGCTCATTTTTATTTTGGTAGATGAAAACTCATCATCTCTTTAGCACTGCTTTTGTGTGTGTCACGTTTATTGACCATACCCCGTACCTCCGATCAGCGCGGTTGGCTACGTACGGTGCAAAAGAAGTTGCACATTCTGTATATGCATCGCTTGTTTTGCCGCACAATGGAAAATGTGCTTCGGTTTTTTCAAACACTAAATTGGAGAGTGGAGCTATTTGGGCTATGCCATAGCATAGTTGTACCCTGACATAACTGAGATGTCAACATGGAGGGAATGAATGAGAGTGGCTTAACCTATTTGTATAATTATTGCCATGAAGAACCACACGATTTGATACGGATGAAGACTTAGCATGAATCTGTTGTAAATGTGTTGAAAATATCGAATTAATCGTATGCCAAAAAACGGTGCGCCATTGAAGCACTGCACTGGGAGTGGCTCCCCACACACAAACAGACATAATAGGCTCACTCCTAAGGAGATGGGAGAATCCTGGCTCACCCCAACGGGTTAATCGATTAATACACTACGATAATTATACAATCAATTGCCCGGAATCCCCTTTTTTCTAAACTTGGAAAAAAAGACTAAAAATAAATTGCGACAAATATAGAGATGTTAACACTCTAACAATAATGTAATAATGTAAGCAACAGAAACCAATTGCAATATTTGTTGTTTCATTCAATGTATTCTTGTAATCTTCTTACTTGTTTACTTTACTTTATCAACCAAATTAGGTTATGCAATGTCACAAAGAGCTGTTGTTACTCTCATGCAATGTTTACGGACGGCACGTGGGTGAGCACGAGGTTTACGTCTTGCGCTCTTCGCTGGAGCCGCTCATGAGCGAACTCGTTTTGACAGCCGCGCGCACCGACTGGGTCAGCCTGGCCACGGCTCGTCGCCACGTCGCTTCCTGAGCCTGGCAGGTGACCAACATTCCTCCCAAAAGGCGCGCTGTGAAACTCCAGACGGCTGGGCGATGCAGAGAATAGAGGGGCCGTTTTAGATCGCCCGTGCCCAGACTGGCCGGAGCCCGTGCTCCCACTTGTGACTATTTATCACGCGCTGGAACGGCCCTGCCAGGGGGACACGCTGTGGGATGCCGCTATCTCTGCACGTGGAGGTGCGATGTTAACTACCTCGCCAGGTATTCAGGAGGTCGCGTGTTCGATCCCGACCCTGACGCCTGTCGTATATTCGGAGTTTTGAGTTTTCAATCTTAAAGTAAACGCCCACTTGCAGGGCCCTCCTGAAAACAGAGTCGTACGGCGCAATGTGGCGTTCCTGCATAAATAAGTTAAAATATTATTTTTCGATTTAAAGCTTTCGTGACTACAGGGATTCATATTCTTGGTTCGTATTATTTCCCTTCTACGTGACTTTACCGAAAGAACCAAGAATATAAAACATATATAGACCAACTCCCAGGAGTGCATTATTGGTCCTTAAAATTTCGATTTAAAGCTTTCGTGACTGCAGGGATTCATATTCTTGGTTCTTTCGGTAAAGCCACGTAGAATGGAAATAATAAAATAAATAAAATAAAACAAGTCTTCTCGATAGACAGAATCTTCTCGTTAGACCTGTTCTTCACCTGAGGACGGCTGCTTGCGTTGTGGCCGAAACGTCGTGAGAATTATTTTATTATTTTATGATGTTTTATTTGTATTATTTTATTATTTCCATTCTACGTGACTTTACCGAAAGAACCAAGAAGATGGTCCTTAAAAATGTGAGGGATGTATTTAAAAATGATGAACACAACTCATTTGCGTGACATAAAATCGATCGCAGTCCACTCGCACCAACAGCAGGCACATTACCCATGTGTGAGCGTTGCATCACAATTCACAGTCCTCTCCGAAGAGAGTGACACATGCAAGCAAAAGTGAACAGCAATCGGTGAATTAACAATTTAGAAAAGATGGTCTGCAATGTGCTCCGTGCTGCAATGCGATGTCTTATATTCCTATGATCTGTACAGCATATTCGTCGTAAAGCTTTTGCTCATATGCCACGTGGGAATGATGATAATGGTGGCTTTGGTAAGGGGTGGCCTTCATAAGTTAATACACAATGAGAGCGATTGCCATTGGCGGTTACGTGAAGAGCGCATTTGAGCGATACCGATCGGTGAACGACGGTGATATTATATTCTTGGTTCTTTCGGTAAAGTCACGTAGAAGGGAAAACAATAAAATAATAAAAATAAAACAATAAAATTCTCACGACGTTTCGATTGCAATCGATTGCTTTTACTGAAAGAACCAAGAATATGAATCCCTGCAGTCACGAAAGCTTTAAATCGAAATTTAAAATCGGTGACATTGTTCGGCTTTTTCGCGATGAACCGCGCGGTTATCGGTTTGCACGATTTGTTGTTAATGCTTTTGGGTTTGAGTAGCAGAGTAAATATAATTGTAGTGCAGTCGTGCATCACTGTACTACTACTGGTGGGTGGATGGCCCTCTCAGCGCTCACCATGGAGTGGTTCTCTTCCTTCAGAACTGCCGATGCTGCAGTGGCGTGCGCGTGATCCCCGACTGCGCCCCGTGATGCTGGCTTCCTCTGTCGAGTTCGCCATGGCCGTGTGGGTGTTGCTGGAGTTTGTTGAGACGTAAAGAGAGCCATTTGGATACCGTGCGCCGTGGGTAACCGTCCTGAGGGCATCAGCTTAGTGAACCCAAGACCCCCCTGGAACTCATAAACAACAAACATGAATACTCGTAGCTAGAAAAATAAAATCACGACGTTTCGATCGCAACACAAACAATCATCTTCAGGTGATAAAATACCGCAGGCTGGGCGAGAGGCCGTAGCGCGGCGCTTTGGAGCCGATCGCTTCGGATCAGATTTGCGCGACACTCAAATGTGTCTGCGAGGAGGCCAGGAGGCAGCAGTACAGCAAGCGGGTTCGTGAGCCCGTCTGTGGCGGGCCGTGGCTCTCCTGCGGGTACTCTTCATGCATTCCCTCACACAAATCACGATTTTAAATGCAGCCCGTTCTCCTCTAACGTGGTGGTGGCGTCCCTGCAGAAGGCCGCGTTTGGGAAAATCGCGTTATAATGAATAATAAACAATATAGGGGGTAAAGCACAGTCCGTGATAACACGTGAGACGCGTTCGCGGGCTGAACAAAGACTGAGGGCGCGTGGGTGGCGTCTGGAAACATCCAGCAGCATCCCACTGCCTTGTGCGATGATGCTATGCCGAGGCAGGCGTACGGCCGCTTAGTCCGACTCGCGCGACGTCGTTCCGTTCACTCGATCGCGTTAAATCCAATTCGCATCCGCGTTAAAAAAATGCGTTCCCTAATACATTCATCGCGTTGTATCCACTGCTCGTTATGAAAACAACACGCAGCATTTAGGAGAACAGACTGTAATTGGCCAAAAAATATCGCGTTTCTGGTTAAATAAATGACAAACTTTATCTTATTATTATTATTATCATCTCAGAGCCACACAATACGACAGTGGTGGTGCGTGTCGCGTTGCGTTTGTGATCTGGAATGTTCTACGCCGGAGCTATTCAACGCAACAGTTCTTTCAGACATCCTTTGAGGCCTTTGTGAGTGTGCCCGGCACCCACAACTCCACCAGCTTGCCAGTGCCGGTGGGGCGCAGACAGGAAACGGGGCACTGCGCTGCTGAGGCTTGGTACAAGTGTTGGCTCGACTTCAAAGGGTCCCCAACGGGAATCCGAATGACCTTAAATTGTCACGGTGAATTTTGCGCTCGCGTGCGGCTTCCCAGAATAACGCGGCCACGGTGACGATGGCAACACCGCACACACACAAAAACCATCCAACAGCAGCCAAACGCTGAATAACGCGTGCCAGGTCCGGCTTGCCTGTGAGGGCCCTTGCCACACAGGCTCGGCCAGATTTAAACTAAAAGCTGAACTGTTTTTCTTTTATTATTTTTTTCAGAAGCGACTTGGCTAAACAAATAATAGCTCAAAGAAGTGGCTTATCATCACGTGGAAGAGTGCAGTGGCAGCCAAATATTCTCAACGCGCGTTGATTCGAAATGTGGAGCGGGGAAAAAATTGGAAGACCCAGAGAAAAATCCACGCGATCACGGGGAGAGAGAGAGAGCGAGACACGCAAACTCCAAATATACAGCAGTCGTCAGGGTCGGGATCGAACCGACGACTGAGCGATGTGAAAAGCACCCCCGACTCAGACCCTCCCAACCGCAACGTGCTGGGCTACACGGAAGAATGCATTTTGCTGCTCTGCCCACAACGCCTACCACAGCTGCCTTCTGTAAGGTGGTCCACCCATCCTCTGGCCAGGCTCTCGCCTGCTTAGCTCCTGAGCTCGGACGAGGCCGGCTGCATGGTTGTGTCGTAGGGCGGTCAGTGGCGATGGTGGTGGTGATGCGTTCGCTCTGTGCTCGCCCGCTCCTCTCATCGCAGTCTCTCCAGTTAAACCTGTGTCCAGCTCGTGGTTGCTTGCACCACAAACAAACAAAAACAACGCACGCATTTCTGAGCCAATATTTGCCATTGCAAACTTGAATTTCCGAACCGCACGCGTTTCAATAACTACGGCGATTGCCAGCGGATTATCGTCGCCGACCTGCAACGCCAACGGCATCCCACCACAGGACACACAAGCACGGAGACAGACCACTCGACCGCACGTGCACTGTCGGCTTGAGACCGAGCACGACGACGACCATGATGATGGTGGTGATGACAAATGAAACGCGAGCCGCGCAGTGGGAGCGTTGCTCAGCGAGGGACGGGCAGCACCGCCGTGCTGGGAACGTGCGCCGAGACCCAGGCGGGCTCAGGGTAAGAGGAGCATCCCGGGCAGAGCCCCCCACCGCCGCTATTTGTGTTTGTTTGTTACAGAACAATCGGACGACGCGCGGCGAGGCCGAGTGATGCGAACGTTTTCTGCGGAAGCGAAGCGGCCGCTTGGGGGGTGGCGGGGATGGGGGCAGTGTCGGATTATCGTAGTAGCACAAGGAGCTACTATTTCGATTTAAAGCTTTCGTGACTGCAGGGATTCATCTTCTTGGTTCTTTCGGTAAAGTCACGTAGAAGGAAAATAATAAAATAATAAAAATAAACCAATAAAATAATTCTCACGACGTTTCGGCCACAACGCAAGCAGCCGTCTTCAGGTGGAGAACAGGTCTGAAGGACTTTATTATGTAAAATTTTTATTATTTTATTATTTTCCTTCTACGTGACTTTACCGAAAGAACCAAGAAGAAGTAGCTACTACATAAGTATCTGCATGTTTAGTAGCTACACAAGTAGCTACACATGTAGTAGCTACTACACGTGACGTAGCTACAAAGGCTACGGGCCCCGCACTTTCAAGGGCCCCGCGCTAAATGCTTTCAAGCTATAAATACGGTTTTCAGCGACTCTGACTGCTCTATACTATAGTACTGAGCTGCTTCAAACTTTTTTGAAACGGCTGGGTGTTTAAGGTTAGCGATTTGTGTATTATCGGGCTGTATAGCAAATGAAAAAAATACAAACTTTATTGTGCAAGTAAAAAATTTATTTATAGAGTTTTTTTAGGGCCCCTTTATATGCTCCAGGCCCCGCACTAGTTTCATCCGGCACTGGGGGGGTAGCCAGCCGCAGGGCCTCCGGTTGCGGATTGAGATGAACCCGGCACATGCGGCTCGGACTCCGATCCCCCACGAACTGCCCGGAGCCCCGCGGGGCCGAGACAGCGGCCAAGGGCGCAGGGCGCAGGGCCCAGGGCGCAGGGCGCAGGGCGCAGGGCCCAGGGCGCAGGGCGCAGGGCGCAGGGCCCAGGGCGCAGGGCGCAGGGCGCAGGGCGCAGGAACCAGGGCGCGGCCCTTCCGTGCTCAGCAGCGGTGGCGGCACGATATGCAGGTTTTGTATATTTGCTTCGTCGTTGCATGACCCGGAGGGTCAATATTAAACGGATTATGTAGGTGATGCTGCAGCTGCTTTGGCAGTGGTGCGCGGACACAATTAACAACAAACACACTCAACGCATATTCGTCGATAACGCTGTGTGGCCTTCAAATGAAACGTGATAGGCGACGTTTTGGGCGAAGGCCCTTCCTCAAGCGCCCCGTCTTCATAGCACAACCAAAGTGTCAGTGTCAATCAAGCACTTTGTCCGTGGCGAATGTAACGGTGGGTGACCACGACGTCTACACCATTCCGGGTGAGAGAACCCTCCCCCATCACCCCCCCTCCCCAGCACAGATGAGTCCCCAATGATCACTGCCGTCGTGTCTGCTCCTGGCAACCAGAGATTGCGGAGTGCCCCAACGTCCACACGTGTGGGACAGCACTGGGAGGCCAGTCAGCCACAACTTGCTCGCTTTTGTGTTGATGCGACTCGAGACGAGAGGCCCAGGGTGCACGTCTTCAGGAGCCGCTGCTGGTTGCTGCACCACTCGCAGCGGCGGCGTGCTCGCTGCTGCACGTGGTCGACTTTATTGATGTTCCCCGCCTGCACGACGATTCCGCTACGATGGCCCTTTTCACCGCTTATAGATTTGGCTTCTGCCGTGAGACAATCCACCCCCCTCCCTCTCCCCGGGACTGCATAAGTATAGCCTGGAGCACATCACCGCCACTAACGCGAACTGCTCCGTGACAGACGGGCACGCGGGCGTGGACGCGCGCTACCACCACTCTCCCAGAGAAGTGACACGAGGCGGCAGGACTTAGTTTGAGTCTCTCACTTAATCCGAGACGACCGTTTTACAATGTGCCGGCTGGAAATAAACTGGGAAATGTTACCTTCGGTGATGGATGATGCCCATGTAAGTGTGCCCGTGCAATGCTTTTTTATTTTTGGTCAGAGGTGGCAAGGCACGTGGTGTTGTGGGTCTCCTTTGCTGCTCACCATGCATCCCCCTCCCCGGGTTACAGCACCCCCCTCCCCTCCATTTCAAATGTCTATCCACACCCCCGGCATGCGTGGCTAAACATTTACATTTAGAACTCTGGACTGGACAACAGCACCCAGTCGCCATCTCTTGTTCGTGACGTGCCAATATTTAATATTCACTTTATAGAAGATTTGTGCATGGGAGGAGTCATATTGATATGCACGCATTTTGAGGTCGCCCTCATTGCACGCAAAGTGCTGTCCACAAGTAAACCACGATACCTCGATGACGTCGTCAAACAGTGTGGACCGTCACGTGACCTCCGGTCATCCTCGCAGCAGCGGCTTTGTCTCGCCATCGGACGAAGACGGTGGTCACCGCATCGCGAGATTTCAGATGCATTTCTGGGGCCGTTTGGAACGTTCTTCCTTCCGATAGTAGGAATCCACTGGGGGCTATGCAACTTTTAAATCATCATCTAAAGTGAAAACGCATTTCTTTAGAACTGCTTTTTGTGTTAAGTTTGTTGTCCTGCCGCACCTGCGATGAAATGCGGTTGGTCTACGCACGGTGCGAAATAAGTTCAACACAGACACGTGCTGGCTACTATGCTCACAATTAACATAAACGGCGGCACAATCGTTTCCACTTTTTAAAGTAATAAAATGCAAATAAGGAATTCCAAGAAGTGCTCTGTCAACCTGAAGCAACGGGACCGTGGATGATCACTGAAACCGGGGCAATCACAGTCCGCGAGTACTACCTCCGGTAAACAGATCACAGTGGCCATTTACACCTAAATCCCCAACGATACATATTCTTGGTTCTTTCGGTAAAGTCACGTATAGAAGGGAAATAATAAAATAATAAAAATAAAACATAATAAAATACAATTCTCACGACGTTTCGGCCACAACGCAAGCAGCCGTCCTCAGGTGAAGAACAGATCTGTCGGAAAGACAGGTCTGTCTGTGTGAAAACTACAGCTAAACATTTTCCTGCTGTAGTTTTCACACCTGATGATGATTGCTTGTGTTGCAATCGAAACGTCGTGAGAATTGTTATTATGTTATTATTTCCCTTTTACGTCACTTTACCGAAAGAACCAAGAATATGAATTCCTGCAGTCACAAAAGCTTCAAATCCTCAACGATAGTCACGTAAACGCCAAACCAGGACTCTCACAGAACATCTGTGCGTCTCGTGGGACACACACCGGCTGACAAGAAGCGGTAACTTCACCTGGGCACGTGGGATCGCGCGCGGCACCGAAGCATGGATGATGTTGGAATTTTTTTCGCACCGTACATGGCCGACCGCGCAGTGCCGGGGGTAAGCGCCACGGGACGGAAGCCACCGGCGGCGGCAGCGCTGGGCCCGGCTGCTCGAGTCCACGGCGGTGCCCGAGGCGAACTCCCTCGCCCCTCACCGTCGGCCACTCTCCGGCGCTGCCGCGGGACCCCCCCCCCCCCCAGATGCGGGCGGAGGCTCCTCTTGTGACGTCGGCGCCGCGAGCCGCCCCCCCCCACCAGGTCCCAGGCGGCGCGCCACGTGTTGTGGGTTAAGCGTCATTATTCCGAGGGGCCTCAGGGGCGACTGAAGCCAAGCAGAGACAGATGTGGGGGGACGTGCAGGGAAATCCGTTAATAAGACAATGAAACACGCGCAACACGTTCGGTTTGCTTTCAAAGGCTAATTGTACATTTCCACGGGAACTTGCTCCATTTTTACGACGACAAATTGCATTATGCGAGCATCGCGGCGCAGCGGCAGTGCGTGTAGCGCGCACGCGGTCAGCGCCGCCTTCGTTTGGTGGCGCGGAAGCTGAGCGCAGCACGGCGGCGTTGTGAGGCTTTCCATCCTCGGCTCCGGTGTTTGACTTCGCTCTGTCTCCAAAGATGTCACGACCAAAACCCAGCCACCGTACGTTCAGCCCAGGCGTTCCGCGACACTCGGTGTAAAAAAAACGTCCGACAATTGCACAAAACCGTGAAGTGACATTTGTTGGCCGGGCTTTCCAAAAAGTGCTCACGTTCAAGTAATGTGCAAGCATCAGCACCGTGAGCCCCGGCCAACACCAAAACCAGCAGTGTCTGCTGTTTGTCGTGTCAGAGGCTAATTAACAGCAGACGTGGAAATCAACTCGCGGACTTAATGACATCCGGCTCTCTCGTGCGCTCATGCGCGCGCACGGCGTGCGCTTCGTCGTTCGTTCCTCATCCGGTCGGGTTGACCGGCATCGTTGCAGCAGCGTCGACGCAAGCGCCAACGTCGGGCAGAGAGAGGCGATCCCTGAGGGGGGGATGGCG